GCCCGGGCCTTGAGTCACTGTGTGTAAAGGGAGGGACGCAGGATGGGGCAGGCTGCAGGAATAGGGACAGGCTCAGCCGCAGCACCTGGGAGGGGGGGGACGGACACAGACCTAGAGGGAGCCCCACGGCACCCCGAGTCCCCCTGGGGATCTTCAGCTCACCAGCACAGGGCTGGAGCTGAGACCTGACGTGCTCACGCTGTGTGTGACCCGCACAGCCCCCGTATCCTCCTGGCCTTAATCCCTCCAGCACCCAGGGAAGCTGCGGACTTCCCAGCAGCAGCATCCAACGCTGGTCCCCAGACCATCCACGGAACCAGGATTCCCGGCAGCAGAGGGTGCTGGTGGCATCGCCATGCCCAGGGTTTGGGCCCGACCACCGGTGAGGGGAGGAAGCTGCAGGGCACGGTGATGCTTTGGGAGGTGAGTTCAGCGGTGGGAGGGGAGGCTCTGTCCCCTCTCAGCATCCTCATCCTGCCATGCCCGGCCCCCTTCCCATCCCAGCTGCCCCAAAGCAGTTTTGTCTCCCACTGCCTGAGTTCGCTGTTGGGAGGGGCAAGGCTTGAACCGGGGTGGGAGGATTTAGGGGGTGAGGGGAAACCTGTGAGCCCTGGTCTGCTGGAGCCTGCTGCCTCGGGGGAATATCTCTTTCAGCTATCGATTTCCCTTTATCAGGGAGCTGGAATATGTATGGGGCTGAAATCCTGATCAATCCCCACTTTACAGCTGATCAATCAGCTGCTGCCCAAGGTCTTTTATCAAAGGGAGTGACTGAACGTGTGCACAACCCATCGCTCCAGGCCAGGACCGTCGATATCCGGCTTCACCTCATCCTGCCTTACCCAAAAGGCAGTGAATCCATGGGGAATCCTGGCCCCAGGCAGCATCCAGGCAGGTCACCACCCAGGCACAATCCTTGCTTTTCCCTTGATGAGTGCCAATTCTCTGGGAAGCCCCATTTCTGATGGTCTCTCTGTAGGGACCTCAGAGCCCCAAACCCAGAAGTGTGGGGTTCCACTGACACCCTGGAGCTGGAAAGCAGCCCCAGCCTCTTGGAGTGCTGGGAATGGGGTGCCCAATGAGAGCATCCTTGCAAGCACACTTGTGTCTCCAGCAGGTTAATGAACCCTCAGCCCCGTGTCCCTAGTGTTGGCAGGTACCAGAGCATCCCTCAATCCCGAAGAGCCTTGTTTGAGGCACGGGGGGTGTGTGGGGTGTAGGGAGCTGGTGAGGAGGGAGTAGCAGCACCATGGCTTCTGTTATTGATTGCTTCATAGCCAAAGGTCAGCAGTGAGCGTGCAAGGATGGGGAGGAGGGAGGTGGTGGCACTGGGATGCGAGGGGCTTACTGCCAGCACTGGGGCTGTGCCATGGGAGGCAAGTGCCAGCCTTGGGGAGCGCTGGTGTGGAGACCCTGGTGGGGGTTCCCATTGCACAGGCACCCACTGGCACCCTCCTTGTGCCTCAGTTTCCCCACCAGCAGACTGGGTGCTGGGTGCCTGGCAGTGCCCTGGGCTGTGGAGGCTGCAGGGAAGAGTCTTTGCTCATGGGAGGGAGGTGGAGGTAGGCTCAGTGGGGGCTGGAGGAGGTCTGTCTGTGTCTGTGTGCAGCCAGGTGGGTTGTGCCTGTGGGATGCACAGGGATATGGCTCAGCTTTCCCTGGCAGGGGCTTGGAGGCTGCTTTTGAGCTGGTCTGTGCTTTCTCGATGGGCATGTGGTGAGATGGGAGACGGTGGCGGAGCCACAGCCCCAATAACGCTATTGCCAAGGGCCCTTCACCTCCCCAGGGATGGGTTTTGTTTGCAGTGAGGACACCAGTCCCAATCTCTGCCAAAGCTGTGACCCATGTGCCCAGGCTTTGCACATCCTTGAGCCTCATCCTGCCAGGCTCAGGGCCCCATTCTGCCAGGCTCAGGACCTGCCTGGGGCCAGGCAGTCCGCTGGCAGCACCGTGTGGTCCCTGATGCCGGACCACGGGCAGCACCTCCGGCACTGGGCTTTGGCAGAGCATTGCCTGCCCTTGCCCCGGCCGTGCCGCGAGGGGGAAGATTTAGAGGCTGTCAGAGCCGGGGCCAGAGGTCAGCAGGGGTCAGAAAGTCCATTTCGGTGAGGTCACTGTCCACTTCTTTCAATCTAATGAAGCCATTATTTGTGCAAGCGCCCGCTCCGCCGGCTATTCCCTTGAAGGCGAGCAGGGCGCAGCGCCCGGTTCTGAAAGAACAGGAAGGAGTCCCCTTCCCTTTCGCATTTCCCATTCAACAGGCCCCCCAAAAACAAATACACCACACACGGAAATATGGTGTGGGGCTGTTGCTGCCGAGGGGCTGCGGTACAGGGGATTGGGAGGTAAAAGGACACTGCCCAGGGATGTGGCTGCATCACTTGGATGGGAATCAGCGAGGATGGGCAGGAATTGGGTGATGCGGAGAAACTTGATGAGTTTAAACAGAAAAGTGTCCCAGGGGACTGTGGGTCCCTCCTGTCCATCAGGAAGGGGCTGGGGAGGAGGGAAGCTGGTGCATGGTAATGGGTTGTGTTCTGAAGGATTTGGTTTGGAGGAAACAAGGGCTCATTCCTCACCACATTCTTCCCCTGTACCTCCATGCTTCTGCCCACTGCCCGCACCACTCAGGGTGTCCTTTCTGCCTCAGGACACTGTCCCCAGGCTATGCGGCTGCTGGCACTGGGGTGTTCCCTCCAGGAACGAAGGGATGGAGCTGTTTCCCAGGGCTGCCCTTCCTCATGGGCAGAAGCACGGGAGCAAAATGCGCAGGCAGCCGGCTGTGTCCTCCCTAAATCGCTGGCAAAAGGTGGGGAGCATGGAAGGAGATGGGCTGGAAGGAGGGACAGAGACACACGGAGGGGTCTCCTGCAAGTCTTGGGTTCCCCCTCCTCCTCCTTCCCTCTTACCCGACTTATCCCACAGACGGGAGAACGGGAACACACGGAACCCGCGGACCCAGCCCCCGGCGGCCAGGAGGGGGTGACAGATGCACGCAGCCACCGGGAGTGCTCCCGCAGCGGATCCCCACCCGGGGCGGCCGTGGGTGCCGGCAAGGAGAGGGGAGCAGGAGCAAGAGGGGAACCGTGGTTCCCCTCTCACCAGCCCCGGGTACAGAGCTCTGCAGGCTGCCCAAGCCTGGTTGTGGGTGGGAATGGGGATCCGGGTCTGTGCCCGGGAAGCACCCGGCTGGACTCTGCTGTCCTGCAGTGGCAGACGAGGGGCTGCTCGTTGGATTTGAGTCAGGACTGATGTTAATAAGAGACCAGTGGAGTTTCCTCAGCCTCCTGGTCCGTCCCCATTAAAAACACCGTAAAGATGAGGAAACACCCTATGAGCATCATGGAATTAACGCTGCTGTGGGCAGGTCACGGGCACCTCCTGCTCCACCCGTGGGGACCCAGCTGAGGGAGCTGCAGAGCTCTGACGTCCTGGGGGGCAGCCCCAGCTGCCTCCTCCCGAAGGCTGCCCCATTTTCCTGCAGGGAGAAGTTCTCCCCCCGCCGCTGCTACCCCAGCCCCGCTCGGCTTTGCGGGGAAGGAGCAAAGCGGAGCCCTCGGGTGTAGGCAGCCTTGGTGGTGGGCAGGAGGAGGAGGAAGAAGAAGGGCGGGAGGAAGAGGAGGAAGGGCGGGAGGAGGAAGGCAGTCTTGCAGGACCCTGGACAGGGCCGGGGCCGTTCAGCACCATGGCCAGCGCCACCGCCGCGGAGCCTTCGCGCGGGGCTGCCCCACGCGGGATCTTACCGGTAGCACCGACCGGGCCCCGGTGGGGGGGGTCCCACGGGTGACACTGGGATCCCCGGGGTGCCCCCCCCTCCCCCTCAGCTCACTGCCCCCCCCACCCCCCCCGGATCCCCTCAGTGATACCACGGGGAGCGAGTCCTGCGTGGGGCGGCCGCTGTCAATGCAACCCCCCCCAACCATTCCCTCGGGGGGGGGGGGGGGGGGGGGGGCGGCACTGCCCGCTCAGCCCCATTCTGGGGGGTCACCACGTACCCCAACACAGCCCGGGAGGGGCTGCGGGCGGCGCTGTGCCCCCACGGGCCAGGCCGGCAGCGGGGCATTGTCCGCCGCCGGAAATGGAGCCCTGGTCACTCGCCCTTTGTCCCCGCCCGGCCTGGGGGGCTCCGGACCATTCCACCCCCCCCATCCGCACCGCCGGCGGGAGGGCAGGCTCTGCCACCGGGCCGGGGGGGGGGGAAAGGCCCCGGGGGTGCTTGGCTCACTCGTTGGACACGGGATGGGGCTGGGGGCGCGGGAAGCCCCCGGTGTCCCGGATAACCGCTCCCCCCCCCCCCCCCCCGTGGTGGATCAGCCTGGTCCCGGTTCCTGTCCCGGGACACGGCTTGCAGGTGGTTCCACTCGTGGGGGGGACCACGGCGGGGGGGGGGGGGGAGAACGGAGAAGCGAGGTGGATGAGCCCCCAGCCCTCGGGGTGCCACCCCCCGGGACTCACGTCTCCATTGACAGGTGGCCTCGCCCCTAAGCTGGGGGGGGGGGGGGGTCAACCCTCCACACACACTGCCCCCCCCCTTCCAAATCCCTCCCGGAATGTGTCGCTATTACCAGGGTTGGGGGGGTGGGGGTGTTAATTAGGATCACGTGGGGACGGGATGGTGGAGCGGGGCCCGGTGCCGCCCCCCACCCCCCCCCCCCGGCCCCGCGGGTGGGTCCTGGGGTGGGGGGGGGGGGAAAGGGAGGGGGGGGGCGGGGGCTGCTATTGTCTGCGAGAATTTGGGAGCCTTTGAGAAACCCCTCCCGCTCCCTCCCCCCTATTGTTGGAGGGAAGATGGAGTCAAACCGCTCCCGGCTCCCTCCCGGCGGGGTCTGAGCCGCTTTTTTTGTTGGGTTGGGGTTTTTTTGGTTTTTTTTTTTTTCCTTTCCTCCTCTTTTTTTTTTTTTTGCTTTTTTTTTGGGGGTTGTTTTTTTTTTTTTGGGCCGATACCCTCAAAGCTGGCCGAGGAGGAGGAGGAGGAGGAGGGAGGAGGAGGAGGAGGAGGAGGAGGCGGTCACAGCCACAACTCGGGATTTGCGAGCCAGTGTCGGGATGGGGTCTGTTTCCAACCAGCAGTTTGCAGGTTAAGTTATATTATTGTCTCAGCCCGCCTCGGCTCCGCGATTATTAATAACAGAGCTCGCATGGGGGGGGTGGTGTGTGCGGGACCCCCCCAGATCCAGCCCCGCCGCACCCCAGCAGCGAGGCCGGGCCCGGCGTGGCCCCGCTCCCCCGCTGCAGCTCTGGGGGGGTTTGGGGGGCAGGGATAGGGTTATTTATTTGGTTTTCACACCGCTCCCCCCCAGCCCAAGGATGAGCCCAAAGTTTGGGGCCGGTGGTGGCTGTGGGGTTATTTGGGAGCGGGGAGGGGGCGTGCAGCGGGGGGATGCTGACGGCGGGGGAGAGCCTCGCTCCAGCGTGGCTGCCTGGGGACAAGGGGATTTCGGGTGGGTGTTTTGGGGCAGTTTTTCCCCTTTTTTGGTAGGTTTGGATTTTTAGTTGTGTTTTTTCTTTTTTCTCTTTATTCTTAAATTATTTTGGTTTTTTTTTTGGGGGGGGGGGGGGGAGTGTGATTTTTTTAATGTTTTATTTTTTTTTTTTTTTTCGTTTTTAACGTTTCCACGGGGACAACGGATTTAGGGCCCCCACCGCACGCACCGCCTGGGTCATGCCTTCGTTTTGTCCCGCTCCTGGGGCGATCCCCACGCACACGTGGGGGCAGAGCCGACCGCTCTGCTCGGGTGGGTTTGGGGGGGCTCTATCTTTTTCCTTGCCTTTTCCAGCCCCGGAAGCCCCAGAAGGATTGGGGGGCTCTTTCTGCTGGCCGGGTGCGGGGCGGCTGGGCCGGGGGGACCCGCGGCTCCCCCAGCCTCCTGCTCAGCGGCCCCGTGGGTCTCTCTCCAGGTGCGAAGCCGGGCGAGGAACCGGCCGGAGACTCGCCCAAGGCCGAGAACGAATCTCAGCCTCTGCACGGCTCCGGCATCTGTAAATGGTTCAATGTCCGCATGGGCTTCGGCTTCCTCTCCATGACCGCCAAGGGCGGCGCGACCCTGGACTCGCCCGTCGATGTCTTCGTGCACCAGGTACGGAGCCGGATCCACCGCTGGGTTCTGGGGAGGGAAGCGAGGGGCAGCCCCTGGGAGGATGCGGGGCCGGATGGGGACCCCACGCCGCTTCCCCCATCCCAGCTCGGCATCCCGGGGAAGCCGGGGTCCCCCGGGTGCGTTTTCCCGGAGGTCGGGCACGGCCGCTCGCCCCGATGCAGCCCAGGGCTCCTCTCCGGGGACCGGCCCTGTAAGCTGATCCCCGAACGGTTTAATTTTCCCATCGCGGTTCCCTGAGGAGCCCCTGGAGTCGGGGAGCAGGTGCCCGCGGGATGTGCTGGAGCAGGGATGCTGCTCCCTCCACGGAAGGACCCGGGGAAGAGCTGGTTTTCCCGCGGCGCAGGGTCCTGGAGCCCTGAGCCAGGCACGGGTGCAGGACCGGGCTTTCCCGGAGTCGGGGATATCTCTGCTCGGGCCCCTTCTTTCGGTTGCGGGTCGCACAAAGGCGTGTGAGGTGTATGTGAACCCGTGGATCCTGTGTTCTAGTGGCAGTTTTGTGTCCGGATTTGATGCACAAGCACCTTGCTGACTGGGGAAGCCCCGCACGTGTCTGTAATCCTACGTTGAGGGGAGTTGTGGATTTGGGGCTGCAGTTGCTTAAACCCCTCCACACCTCGTGGGGGAATGGGTTTGGAGATGGTTTGGAGCAAGCTGCTCTAGTGGAAGGTGTCCCTGCCTGTGGCAGGGGGGTGGAAGTGGATGAGCTTTAAGGTCCCTTCTAACCCAAACTGTTTGATTCCATAGTGCTCAAATCGGGGCCAGTGCTTGCGTCTGTGTGATGAGCGTGACCCATGCCAGTCACCCTGGGAAAGCGGCTGCCACCCGGGCTGGAGAGCAGAGTGAGCTCTGGATCTGTACTGCAAGCACAAGTGGTTTTGTGGGTATGGTTGGGAGCAGCCACATGGCATTTGGGCTGAGGCAACAAGAGGTTGATGGCTATGGGGAGCCCCGGGGCCAGCCCGGCATCAGTGGCTGCTGCTCTCCATGGGCCCAAATCCCCCCAGATTTGGGTCGAGCCTGTGGCCTGCGGATAGGATGGGGGTGCAAGACTGAGCCTGGGGCTGTGCAGGGCTCTCACAGTGCCTACTCCAAGGCAGGGCTATGGCAGTTTAGCAAGTGAAGGTGGGAGAAGCAAATCCCTTCTCATTGACTTCAGCATGGTTAAATTGCCTTGGTCGGAGCTACCACCCTGCGCAGCTGGGATTGGAGGTGAGGGCTCCAAATCAGCCAGCGAAAACCGAAACCTGGATCCTGGTGCTCTGAGAGCAAATGGGTCTTTGCATCTCAATGTAGCACAGCGGGACCTGGTGCCCGTGGGGGAAGCCTCCCGCCCTTCTCCTGGGGGTTTATTGCCCATGGACAGTCTGGTTTCCTGATTGCTCTTGCTCACATTCCTGTAGGAAAAGAGAATTGGCTTGGTTGCCTCTGCCGGGAGTATCCCACCGCCCGGGAGAGGTGCAGCCTCCTGGTGCTCCCCATGGGGTCCCGTGTGCAGGGTTTGCCGCATTCAGGAGATGCAGAGGACGCTGGGTGGAAGTGGGTATTTTGGGTAGCAGAGGGACAGTGTGTGTGTGGCTGCCAAGGGGGTTTGGACCACCAGAAGTGGGGCAGCTTTGGGCTGATGGTGTTTCCCGTTCAGGTCGGGCTTTGCCTCCTGCCCCTCTTACTGGTGGCACAAAGTCGCTGCTTGCCTGCAGCAGAACAGCCAGGGCTGGTCTCCCACCATGGAGCATCCCAGCACTGGCTCAGCCCCGGCCCCTCCTCACAGAGGGACCAAACCCACACTCCCATTCCGGGCTTGTTGCTTTTGGGTGGCTTTTTTGTGCCCCTTCTACTGATGCTTTTCCCATCCCAGCATCCAGGCGCTTCCCAAGAGCCAGTGCCCGCTCTGCTTCCCACAGAGGGAGTCAGGCCTCGGAGGGCAAAAGCCACAACCAGGGGAGACAACACAGAGGGCTTGGGGTGCTCCAAGCCAGCTATTGGGGTTTAACACCACAGAGCACCCCATAACCTCCTCCTTCCCCTCTTCATTTACATATGTGAATGATGACCCACAGGAAGTAATTGTGGGAGAAAGAAGGGAATTGGCCTCTTTAGATCTATTAAATCACTTTATTACAGGAACCAGGTCTGAATGGCCCTTCTCTGCAGGGAGCGCGTCTCCATCTCCCTCTCCCTTTATCTGATCACAAAGAGATTAAAATCTCGGCAGGACAGGAGACTAACAGGGCTCTTCGGGCTGCCTTTCCCTCACATTATGAGCTAAAAATGAGGCATTTGGGTTCAAATGCCTCCCCTGGACACTGGAGATGGATTCATTTGGGGGCAGTGAGGAGATAAGGGGGGATGAAGCACAGAGCAGGTCCTCCCGGGGGAGGCAAAGGGCTGAGGGTGGCAGAAATCAGGCTGGTGCTGGTGACAAGCCCAAAGCTGCGGTGGTTCCCTGCGGATGTGGCTCCCGGGCCCACGCTGTGGCTCTGAGCATCGCTTACAGGAGTGTTACAGGGGAAAGCGACCTGGAAAACGGGAGAGGAGAAAACCTGCCCATGCAGTGGCTCCAGGGCTCAGCGCCGCTGACCGGAGCAGGAGCGGGGAGCACAGCCCAGACCTGGCTCTGCCATCCCGGGGGGCTGTTCAGCCCCTGGGAGCTGCTTGGCTCCGTGTCTCCGGGCTTTTCTCCAAGCTGATGGGTCGAAAACCCTGATAAAGGCAACTTTACTTGTTACGTTTCTTGTTCCTTCTCATGATGCTTGCAAAGAGAGACGCGGGGCACCGCTGGTACGATGCAGGGCATCGCTGGTACCCTGCAGCTGCTGTGGCCATGGGGCTTTTGGTCACCGGCATCTCAGTGATGTGGTCCTATGTGTCCTTGTGGGGACATAAGGCCGTGCACACAGTTACACCCGCTGGGGCTGGGATGTGGCCCCCCTGTCCTGCCTGAGTGCCCAGGACAGCATGGAGGGCTTTGGTTCCCCTGAAGTCCCTTGGGGGCTGCCATCCCCGGAGCAGTGGCAGTTGGCGACAGGCTGCATCCCCATTCAGTGGGGCAGGGAACGGGATGCAGGAGGATGATGGCTGTTGTTCAGGTTGCAACCTGCATTCAGCTGCAACCAGCACTCAACTGCACTCAACCAGCTCAGCTGCAACCTGCACTCGTGCTGACCCCCTGCATGCAGCAGGGTTTGGTGCCAACCAAGCCACCAGCATGACATAAAAGCAGAAATAAAAGCACATGTTTGGAGGCAGCTCCATCCCTGAGCAAAGGCAGGGGCACAAGGAAGGACTTCTCTATCGGGGACCATAGTCCAGCCTTCCCATGGGCTGCCCTTTCCCAGCTCCGGGGTGCAGGGCAGGATCCAGCTGGAGGGATCTTGTGTGTGCAGAGCTGGGGTGCAGCAAAGGGGGAACCCTTCAGAGCAGCTCTTTGGGTCAGTGCATTGGACCCGTGATGCTCACAGAGACCCAGGGCACGTTTAATATCTTTTTCTGCTTTCTCGTGTGCATCGCTCCTGCATTTGATCTCTGGGACCAGGGTCACCCCAAGGTGCTGGTGTGGGTGGCTGCAGGACCCAGTAGCACCAGCGTTACGTGTGTCCCTGGGGAAGAGATTCCCTGGAGAGAAACTGTTGGAGCTTTGCTTTGGAGAAAATCCAGTAGGATCAAATGTTTGGTTTGGTTCTTTGTTGGTTTGGTTTTTGGTTTGTTTCGGCTTTTTAAGTAGCCCCTGGACTAAAATGGCATCTCCGCATCCTGATGGCGAATGGTGAAAGAGAGCAGCTTTATTCCATCCCCACACACACAAAAAAAGCCTCCTGTCTCTGTCTAAAGATTAACTGATGGCTGCAGGCACATCCCTTCCCCCAGCTCCCCCTCTCAGCCCCAGGGTGAGGGGCAGCGAGAGAAAACACCCTTAAATGGTCTCCCAGATAAAATGGCCCAAATGAATGGGATTGCTCCCGTTAAAGCCAGGGATGGAGCTGGGGCCGGCTGGGATGGAGCCGCTGGCTTGGCGAGACCCTGCCCCTGCCCCTCTCAGCTCCAGCGTTTCCTTTTCCCTATTTACTCCCAGTAAAAGTGGGATGAAGACAGAATCCCTGATGGAAGATGCGCTCCTGTTCCCGGCCGTGCCCCTGCTTTAATGTGGGAGTATGAGGTTAACGCTGATCTCGTCTGGGAAGTGCAGGAGGGTTTGGGACCTTCTGGGTGGGGAAAAGCACAACTAAGGGAGCTGAAAGTGTGAATTTCGGGCCGGTAGCAGGGTTAATGCTGTGGTGAATGCTTTCTTTTCCATAACCAGTATCTACCGTTCAATGTTGCTGGTTTATGGTGGAAAACGAGGTGCGAGTGCAGTTGCTTTGGTAGTAAAATGGTTTTATTTTGGTTTTACTTGATTTGGGGAATAAATCCATGGGGTTATTGCTCCAGATGACAGTAGGGAGACACTGGAAAGCCTTGGTAATGTTCTGCTAAATCCCCTGTGCTCGCCCTGATGGGCTCATCACAGGCATCATCTTTATCTCTGCACAAGCCCCCGGAGCTAAGGAAGGACCCTCTTTCCCGAGGAGCATCCGCCGGGTGCTTGTGCGGGGCTGAGGTGCAGGAAGGGACACGGGATGATCCCTGCTGCAAGCCTTACGTGTGTGAGCCCAAAAATAGCAGCAGCGCAGTCCCTGGCCCTTGAAATGCCGGCACCGGGAGATTTCCTGGGTGGTTTGGAGAGAGGGAAGGGCTTTGCTCCGGGATGGATCCATGAAGGGGCTGTGAAGGCAGAGGGATGTTTCCCTGCTGGCCTCATGGCCGATGGTGGCCCTGCTGGGGCATGGGGGCTTGGGTCACAGAGCTAAACCCTGCCCAAATGTGCTTTGGGGGCTGCTTGCTGTGGGGCAGTGCCCAGCTCTGCTGGAACAGGGCTGGGAGCTGGGCTGAGGCTGCTGCATCCCAGCGGGATGGCGATGGCATTGCCTGGTGGCAATAGGAGCTGTGCCCCCAGTACTGGGTGAGCCAGTGCACACCAGTGCAGGAGCCATGGACAGGGCTGCTCTGCACCCAGCCTGAGCCCTGCAGGGCTGGGGGTGGCCGAGGGCTGGGGCTGCTCCCCTGGGAGGAGTCCTTTGGGATCACGGTGGGGTGAAGATGGCTGCACCCCAACCAGGTCAGCGGATGCCTTGGTGCCATCAGCACAGGGACAGCTTGAGCAGAACAAGGGATTTTGGGGGGCAGGGATGCTGTGGTGGCTTTGGGGACAGAGGGGTGCTGAGGCCGGGGAGGAGGGCAGCACAGTGGTTGAGGAGCCCTGGGTGTAGCTGAGAGTGCTGGCTGAACCTGTGGGTGAAAGTGGGGTGCAGTGATGGGGGCACAGCAGTCCCTGTGTCCACCACTGGGACATGCCGGGGTCCACCCTTCCTCACCCCTGTGGGCCGCTTCCCCTCTGTAGGGCGGGGGAAACTGAGGCACAAGGCACTGGAGCGGGGTCGGGCTGCCCGAGGTGCTGCGCATGGCTCAGCGCTGCCGCTCGCGTTCCCGCAGCGGCTCCTAACGCAGCATCCCAACCCGGCCGGTTGTCCAGGGATGGACGTTTAAAGGGCTGGAAGGTTCCCGCGCAGCGAGAGGCGAGGTGCAGCGGCCGCTCCGCCCCAGGCCCCTCTGGACACAAAGATGGTTTGATTGAGTGGCCGGGGCTGGATGGGAATAAACGTCCCCTTGTGTCGCGCTGGGGAGGCCACGGGGACAATGGTGACCCCGGGGCTTGCCGAGCCCCTCCGGAGCCTGGTTGGTTGGGAGGGGGTGAACAGGAGCCTGGCATTTCGGGGAGCAGTGGCTGGATTTTGGGATGCTCCACGGTGTCACCCCTCTGGGAGGGGCAACGCTGGGATCTGTGATGAGTGGGAGGAAGAAGAGGGATGAAGGCACCCGTGTGCAGGTGGGGTGCAGGGGTGATGGGCAGCGCTCATCTGCTCACGTGCTGTGTCTTTGTCTGCCATAAATAACCACAGAGCTGCTGGAGAGTGGGATGGGTGGAAAAGCAGAGAGGTGCCCACTGTGATGCTTGGTGGGGGGGTCACAGAGAGCTGGGTGAAGCCGTGCCAGCTCTGCTTCTGTTCCTTGTCCCACTGGTTAACTCTGGACCCTAATGATGACAAAAAACCCCTTTGCGCTCGGCTATGCTTTAAAGCAGTTTGATGATGAGGATGGCAATGCTTTGTGATCCCAAGCCCAGAGGGTCACCCTACACCCCCCATACAAAACCATCCCCCCCCCCAGGACTGACCCCTCAGCTCCATCATGGGACCTAAAACCCAGCACCCAGCGGGTGAGACCCAGCTCCCCTGGGTGAGGGGCTGCAGGGGGTCAGGGGGCCGCGGCCATGCCGCCCACCCTTCCTCCCCCCACCGTGGCCTGGAACTCCTGGAATTTGGGCAGGGGGAGCGCGGCCGCCGCTGGCCCTTTGTTCTCGCTGGCCGGTGGCTCCCGGCCCTGGCCCTCCCCTGCGCTCCCCCCCCATCCCCAGCATCCCCGGCTTGCTCCAATCCCCCCCTTCCTCTCTTTATTTTTTGGGGGTGTGTGTGTGTGTGTGCGGAGGCCTGGGAAGGCTCCGGCTTTGTGTGTGGTGTGGGGCAGGGGCTCTGGGCCCCTTCCTTTCAGATGCAGGAGGTATGCAGCTAATTCAATGGGCTGCAGTTTGATTACCTATCTGATAACAGAGGAATGCCAGCAATGTGTGTGTTTTGGGAAGGGGGCAGGGGGGATGCGCAGGGACCACCAGCCACTCCGCAGCTCACATCAAAAGGCTTCGGTGGGGGGAGAGCTGGGGCGCCCCGGCCGCTGCCCCCCTTCCTTCCCTGGGGAGAGGGCGTTTCCTTTGGCCTTTTGGTGGAGGGGGCCGGGGGCCGGGGGGGCGGTTGTCATCCTCACCCGCTCCTGGAAAACAAATCGCTTCCCCGTCATGTTGCGGCAGCTTCTGTCCCAGCGCTTCCTCCTCTTCCTCACCATGGGGGTAGCGGGTGGCTCACGGGGTGTAGCAGTTTGGCTGCCCACGGGTGATGGTGCCCAAGGCACGGGCTGTGAGCCGGGGGGTTGGGGGGGGTGTCCAGCCTCTGTGTGCCAGGGTCCCCCCTAGCCATGGCTTGGCTTTGTCCTGAGGCTTGGGGCTGGGTGCCTGGGGGTTTTCATGTCCATAGTGTAAACACAGCTGGGCTGCTGGGGCTGTAAACACCCCATCAGGATCTGCGGGAGGACCTGGCTCTTGTCCTGCAGCCGCCTCCTGGGCCGTAAAAGTGATGCTCACCATGGAGTGGTGCTCAGCTCCTCACCCCCAAAACGCTGCTGCTGATGGAGTGGGGCAAATCCACCATCTGTGGCAGCCCCTGTGGCCCAAACCACCTCACACAGGGTGGTGACCGACCCCAAGGTGCTGAGACTGAGCTAAGCACCTCTTGTGCTCTGCTGGTAGCTGCTTTGGACACAGTGGTCTTGCTTGAGTGATTCTCAGCATCCTCCTGGTGCCGCTCAGTAGTAGGGGAAAGCTGAGTTGGAGTTTGGGAGCAGCATTTGGCTGTTGTGCTGAGTATGGAAGGGTGTTTGCCACTGGTGGTGGGACTACCCAGCATAGCCATGGATGGGCAGAGGTTGCTGTAAGACCCTGTCATGTCTTTGTTGTCACTGGGGACCCCATAGCTTATGGTTTGGTTCTCCCTTCTGGGAGCAGAGTGGGTCAGAAAGCAAAGGTTTCAGACAACCCCATCTGGCCTGCTCTGGACCCCACTCCAGCAGGAAAGTGGACCTGGTGGATGTGGGTGACTTGTCCCAGCCCAATGGGTCTGTCCCACCCAGAGCTGGGCCCCCAAACACAGAACTGGGGGGGGGGGGGGGGGGGGCAAAAGCAGAAAAAGGGGTCTCAAGGTTTGTTCCTCGAGCTCTGCTGCATTCCCAGTCCCCCATGCGCCCAGGGACACAGGCACCGTGTCCTGCAAGACCCTGTGAAAACCAATCACTTCTAAACCCCAACAACTCCAATTCCTCCCTCTTTGTTTTCATGTGGGGTGTTTCCACGTGGGCCCTGGTGGGGTTGGGATGGAAGAGGGGACCCGGCCACGCACCCAGCAGCGTGTGCATGGAGGCTCTCGGTGCGGGAAGAATGGGCGGCCGCGGCCCACGTGACGGGAACTCACCAGGATGAATGGGGGAGATGCTCCATTCATAAATGCAGGGTCCCGCTGCAGCCGCGCAGGCGTTGGCGCCGGGAATCCCCAGCCTGAATCCCGAGCCCCTGGAGCTGCTCCTCCCTCTGCCAGCAAATCCCTCTTAACTCTTTGCTCGTGCTCGTTTGAGCTCCGCTAAGACCTGGAGCAAAAGCCCTGCTTGGATCGCTGCCGGGATGCAGTGGTCCTGCACTGATGCTCACGGCAGCACTTGCTGGTACAGAGGGGCAAGAGATGTATTGGCTGCATCGTCCAGCTCAGCTCCTTATGATTTTTTTCTGCTAAAATCATAGAATCACAGACTGGTTTGGATTGGAAAGGACCTAAAGATCATCTATTTCCAACCCCCCTTGTCATGGGCAGGACTTATGGAAGTGGAATGGATTTTTTAGCCATTTCATAGCCTCCCTTCCCAGCCTGGGTCTTTATGAAGTCTCAGGTTAAATTGCACTGTGACCGATGTGGCAACCCTGGGAGGGACAGGAGATGTTCCCCACAGTGACAACCCAGGGCCAAACAGCTGCTTGATGAATTATTGGAGGTAATTAAATGGCTTGAAGCAAGGGGGCTGGCTGGGCTGGGACCCTGGGCCAGCAGTGCCAGCTTCCAGCCCCCTGGCCTTGGTATGGGTCCTGCCACGAGCAGGGCTGTATGTGCCTTTGCAAAGCCTTGAGATCCTTTTGTCTTTTTATAATGATGTTCTGTATCTCCCTTCGAGCAGCCCCAGGTGCCAGGAGGTGCAGGGGCAGCTCTTGTCTATTCTTGGGAACAAGGGGCTGTTTTGGAGTGCAGAGTCAGCATTTTGCAGAGAACCCTGTTGACATTTGGGTCAGAACTGGCTCTGCTGGCCCTTGCTTGCCAAACCAGTGAGCCCCACTTAGCCAGCTGCCTCAGCTCACTAAAGGCTCTGTGTTATCAAATGGGGCTCCAGAGACTTCATGGAGATGAAGGTGCTTGGTCCCTGATATCCATCCCCCCACAAGGTATGGCCATGGGGGAGATGTCAGCTCTTGTGCCATGGGAGGTGTTTGCTTATTGTGTGCCCGGAGCCCCTGGCTCTGTGCTGACCCCCATCCATTCCCTGTTCCCCCCCAGAGCAAGCTCCACATGGAGGGTTTCCGCAGCCTGAAGGAGGGCGAAGCTGTCGAGTTCACCTTCAAGAAGTCATCCAAAGGTTTGGAGTCCATCCGGGTGACCGGCCCGGGAGGTGTCTTCTGCATCGGCAGCGAGAGGAGACCCAAGGGCAAGAGCCTCCAGAAACGCAGATCGAAAGGAGACCGGTAAGAGGTGACTCGATCCAGGGCAGGGTCTAAGCCCTGCGGGTACCAGGAGCTGCCCAGCACCCTGCCTGCAGCATGGGGACGGGTTTGGGTCCAGTGGGGCAGGCAGTGACCCCTCCTCTGGGAAAGCAGCTTCCTTTAGTGGTTAATGAGTGGCAGATGCAGCTTGGTGGGGAAAGGGCAGCAAAGCAGCAGTGAAGGGCAGAGGTCAGGGACACCCCGGGCGGCCGCTGCCCTCGGCGGGGGGATCCGTGCTGGGCATGGGTAATTTTCTTGGAGAGAAACCCTTCCTTGTGGGAAGGAAAGGGCCGGACATCCTGGCAGCATCTCCACGGTGAGGCCGGGAGCCCCAGGGCGAGTTTGTGGCCAGCCCTTCATCCCCCCACTCCTCTCCCATCCCTTCCATCCTGGCTGCCCCAAGAGGCGTTATCCTGGCTTTCCCAGTGGATGCTGCCCAGCCAACCTGGCATTTCACACACAAGTGAGTTCTCAAATGAGTCAGAAAGGGATGGGGAAGGAAAAGGAAAGAGAAAAGGGTTGTGGCTGTCCTGGATGGATGCAGGATTTCAAATGCACACAAGGCAGCAGCTTCCTCTGCCCACACTGCTCTGTGGCACCTGAGGGGATGAGTGCTGCAAGGGTACAGCCACAAGAGAAACCACATCTGGGGTTTGTCCCAGCATTGGTGGCCAGAGTCCCTGTAACTGAGCTGTTGTCCTATTGCCTGTTCCTGTGCTGCTGCAGACTTTTGGTCCATAGCATGGAACCCTGGGTGCAGGGTCTGTATCACAGGAGCCAGAACCATGATGGAGCCAGAGAGGTGGAAGCCCCCCCAGCATCCCTGCTTTTTGTCCCCATGCTTGGTTTCAGTGCAGGGGTTTGCTGCCATCTCCTGGGTACCAGCAACACCACTGAGCCAGGCCCAAACTGGCTGAGACGGGGCTCTGCAGGGACCAAGCCCAGGGCCACCATTCACCCCCAGGGAGCCTGCCCCACATCCCTGCAGCAGCCACCCATGTGAAGCCCAGCGCTGGCTGTGGAGCCAGACGGGTCCCAAGCACGGCCAGCGGCAGCATCCCACCTCATTGTATTTCTCCTCCTGGAATCTCTCTCCTCCCCCCCCCGCAGATGCTACAACTGTGGTGGGCTGGACCACCATGCCAAAGAGTGCAAGCTCCCGCCGCAGCCCAAGAAATGCCACTTCTGCCAGAGCATCAGCCACATGGTCGCCAACTGCCCCGCGAAAGCACAGCAGTCCCCCAGCTCGCAGGGCAAACCTGCCTACTTCCGAGAGGAGGAGGACATGCACAGCTCGGCCCTCCTCCCCGAAACCCGGGAATGATGGTGGGCGGCAGGGAGAGGGGGCTTCCACCGGGATGAAAAGGCTTTGGCAAGGCAACGGGGCAGCCGCGGGGGCTTGGAGGATGGACGGCAGGGTGAAAGACTGGGGAGGGAAGGCAGCAGTGCTCATGGCAGGGACCTGGTGTCCCCGCACAGACCTTTTCCCCCTGTTCCCAGCCTGGGAAAAGCTCTGCCTTTAATCAGGATGGCTTGTTCCAAACATAGGGGAAGCAGGGCCCAACACACCTCTTCCAGCTAAAAAGAACCAAACCTGTATTTCATCTAACTTTATTCTTCTCCTAAAGGAAGCCAGGCAATAGCGTCTCTGGGAGGAGGAGCAGAGAAGCGACACCTCAGGGAGGAGCTTATGGCTCCTTGTTCTCCTGAGTTTCAAGCAGGCTCTAGCATGGCTTGGATGAGCGGCAGGGGACCCACTCCTATGCCTGCCCCATCCCGCTCTGCTGCAAGGAGGAAGGCCAAGAGGGGAAGGCTGGCTGCAGAGCACTGGGGAGATGCTGTGGGCTGGCCCCACGGGTCCCCTCATAGTTTCTCACTTGCAGATTGATCTGGGGATTTGCAGTTTCTCTGTGGTTGCCCCACTGCTGAAAGCAGCAGAGCCCAGCTTTGGGCTCAGTCTGGAAGGAAATGGGGCATCTCTGGGGTCTGGGCTAACGCTGCCTGCTGCGGGCTGCGAGCTGCAGCTTGGGGAAGATCAAGTCGAAAGAAAAACACTTATTTTCCCCCTACCTCTTCCTAAGTGCCAGCCCAGAGAGCACAAGGTGGTTTATGCAGCCAGCTCCTCCCCTCTAAGGCTTCTCCCTGCCTCTGAAATGCAGAGCTGGGGAGTAGGAGGGCTTCACAGAGCAGAAATGCTCCTCCCTAAGTGTTGGGCAGAGCCAGCTCCCAGGGATGCTGCTGGCAGCGTTTCCCTCAGAGGCTGAGGACAGAACCCTCTGCTCGCACAGATCCAGCCATGGCTTAAACTCATGCAGGGCAAAGCCACGTCTCTGCTCCTCCTGCCCACCCCCTACTCCTGGGCTGAGGCTCCCCAGGGGCAGAGGGAAAAGGTGCCCCGGTTGTTATCTGCTGCTGTCCCCCCTCCCCACCGCCCCCCCCTAAGTCTTGCCTTTATTTATTGCCCCGGTGGGCAGCCCCCCTGGTCCATGTCAAAGCCAACACCAAGTGAAACCTGCACTAGGACGTGCGTGAATGACGTATCTTTGGGTTTGTTTGTCGTCTTTGGTGGGTTTTTTTTTTGATTTTTTTTTTTTTTTAATATAAATATTCTGGTTTTGTATTTTTGTATATTTTAATCTTTAAGAAAAAAAAAGGGAAAAAAAAAGAAAAAAAGAGAGAGAGAGAAAGGACATAATTCCTGCAAGTTATTCTCAGGTATTGAAGCAATCTCAGGGATAAAATGCTTCTGTAGCCCAGTGCTGGACAGAGAGGAAGGCTTTTTCTAACAGCACAAAACCATGACCAAGTTAGTATTGGAAGTGTAGCTCTACCTCACTGGATGTTTGCCAGGTGGACTGTCGTTGTCAAGCTTTTCAGTGGTGTTTTTTGGTGTGTTTGGGATTTGTTTTCTTTTTAACTGTGATTTAATAAGAGTCTCTTTCCCTTCCCCATGGACTGAGGAGGAGTTTGGGTCTGTAGATCAGTGTGTGGGGATGGAGAAGCCAGGCAGTGCCATGGGAACAGCTGCTAGAGCCCATTTTGGCTCCTCAACTCCAGATTTTCCCCCAGCCTGGTGGCTTTTGAGGACTGTCCTCCATTTCTCTCTCCTGTTTATGCTCCAATGTCCCCTCCCTGCTGTCCCAATGGGAACACTCCAGTCTGCCCCATGTCCAAGTCCTCCCATTGCCTGCGGGCTGGGATGTTGCACAGGCTCCCAGCAGGCTGGTGCCGTGTGGCTGGGGGCTGGAAAGCCAGGATGGGGGTCCCAGCCTGTTCAGGGGGACATGGCAAGAGCAGGCAGTGGCCAGGGAGGTTGTTGGGATTGAGGATAACCTCAGTCTCCCCTGCCCTAACTCAGCCTCAGGCAAAAGGCTGCTGTGACCTCCTGGGACAAGGGGCCTGGTGCCAAGGTGGACCCAAGTCCAAGGGAGGTACAACTGCTTCTTCTTTCTTCTCCCTTCCTGGCTTCTCCCAAATGCTGGCTCACAATGGCTGGGGTAAACTCTGGATCCCTGGTTTTGGGGCATTAACACTCCACTTGCAGCCTGGGGGCTGGCTGGAGCCTTCCTGTGCTGGCATGTCAGGACACGGGTGCTGTTTCTGCTGGGTTTTAGGTAGCAATAGGTTTAGGTGCAGAGCAGGGCTGGAGCAGACGGGGAGCACCTACTCCATCCTCATGGATGGGGCTTGCTGAGGCTGCTGGAGCCCAGTGACCCCTCTGAGGCTTTTCTCTGCCCTGCAGCACACGGAGGATGGAGAGCAGCTCCTTGGCTGCCTGCCCTGCTCCCGTAGTTGTAATGGTGAGGTGGTGGTCTCTTCTTGGGAGGGTGTGGGGAAGGACTTTATAAGTTCTTGACTAGCAACGGGATCAGTACAAAACTACTTCAGCAAAACAGCTTTTGGCTGAACGGGGTAAATGCAATAAGAGTGCACTGGGCTGCGCGTCTAAGCCTTGCGCCTCAGCCCTGCTGCCGTGTTGTTGGGGGCTGTTGGCCTTCCCCTGGCACCTCGGTTGTGGCAGGGAAACTGCTGCCACCCCTCATTCTGTCTTCAAGAATCGTGTAGGACCTTCCCCCCCCCTTGCCCCCTGTTTAATGGTTTGGTGTTTTTTCTGCTAGATGTCTATAGTGTGTGTCAAGACCTCTGTCAAACTTCCCGTTTCTCTCAGTATTCTCCTTGATTATTGTTTACAAAAGGCAAGAGGAAAAAAGAAGAAAAAGGAAAAAAAAAATATATAGCCAAAGCATCCAATAGGTTATGGATGAGGGAGAGAGGATGTCCTCTGTGTACTGCCCCCACACAGAGCTGCAAGGGGCAGGAGCTCTGTAACCATCCCTGTCCTAGGCTGAAGTAAATGGCTTAGAGAATCACTCAGGTTTTCCCCCCCCGGAGCCAGCGTGGTACCGGGATCCAAGAAAACAGGGAGTTTTTTTCTGTAACGGGAAGCCCCACTGGAGAAGATGGGGTTGAGTTACATCTCCTCGCTCTTCCCATGGTGGTTCTTCCCGTGTCTTGACAATAATGAACTAAATTGCTGCATCATCACCCCCCTCCCCTGCCCACGCTCGGCTCGCAGGCGCTGGGCACTATGCATTAGGGGCCAGTGAGGCTGCACACTCAGGGTCCTGCTGGAACACGGGAGCGTTTGAATGTACGATGAGGAGAAGACGTCCCTCACGAGGGGGTGTCCCCGGGTGCGAAAGCCTCGACTCCCACGATTGTCTACGAGGAGACGGAAGAATGTAATAATCCATGTTTACTGCTAGCAACCAAAGCGTGTTTGTGTCAGACTCTTGGGGGTTTATGAAGCGGGAGGGAGGGAGGGAGGGAGCAACAGGGGTGGGCATTTCCCAAAGAGGTTTCCCAGTGGAGTCCCTGCAGCGGGATCCCCAGTTCCTGCTGCTGCAGGTTTTAACCCCTCGGTTTATTTGAATTTGTTTTTGTACCAACTATGTAAAATGTGTTGTTTTTATTTCCTTTTCTGGAATAATAATAATAATAATAATAAAGACCATGGGCAGTGGCTGCTGGTGATGTTCTGTGTTCTTGCCTTCTTCCTCCTCTGCGGTTGAGGAGCCCAGACCCAAACTGGGGCTGCCTGTGCAGAGGGAAGGGGGATACCCCAACCAGCCCCCATAACCACTACGGCCTTGCCGCACGGGCCCTATAAGCACCCCAGTCCCACCCGCAGCTTGCAGTGACCTGCCAACACCCCCATTGCCCTGGCACGCCCCAACCCTGTCCGCCCTCAGCCCCCCCAGCCCCGATCCTGCCTCAAAGCCCGCTCCCTTTCACCCCTCCATCGCCTCCCGCTCCCCTCAGCCACCTCACGGCACCACCGCGCCTGCGCGCCAGCCCCTCCCTCCCGCCCTGCGGCACGCGCGCCTGCGCACGCCTCCAGCCCTGGGCGCGGGAGGGTGACGTAGGCGGAAGGGCACGTCACCCTCTGGGGAAGGCTGAGGCGGCGCCGCCGGGAGAGGTAACGGGCGGTGGCGGGGCCGGGGCCGGGGCCGGGGGAGCTGGAGCTGGGCGGCCCTTTGGGGCTGTGCTCTGCTCTGCGGTGGGAGCTGTCTCCTTCCACCGGCTGTCGCCCGCCGGCCACCCTTTCCCTCCCCTCCGGGAGCCGGGGGAGGCCTGAAGGCCGCCCCGCTGCCCGCCGCCCCTGTTCACCCCGCTCCGCGCGGCCTTTCCCCCCCCCCCCCTCCCCGCTACCTCCGCCGCTGTTCACCCCGTGCTGTGGGTAGGGATTGCGGGATGAAGGTCCTGCGCCCACGGGCTGGGCAGGAGGGGGTCCTGCCCCCCCCCCCCCCCCCCGGTGCTCTGTGTCGGTGTGCAGGCACGGGGCGCCTGTGTGAAGGTTGTTCTTTAAGGTGACTGTGTGAAGGGTGGGTTGCTTCGACAGCGGTGGAAGAGGATGTGTTTTCAGACCGAGCTGGTCAAGGGGAGCGTTAAGAGCTTTAGTAACAGAGGCCGAGGTTCAGCAGTTCTTTGCCTTAATGTTTTGTGGCTGCGTCTGTGGCTAAACATCTCTTCCTGAGGGAGGAGGCCCCATGAAAACTAATGTAATCAGTGTAATTTGGATCTATTCTGGTCCCTAGATGAGAGGCTGGATCTGGACTGTTGCCCCCACAGCTCTCTGTTCAAAGCTGCTTTGCCCACATTCTGAGTGTTCCTAGCTGAGGGAGTTGAAGGTTAATGTGGAAGCTCAGCAGATTTGATAACTCAAACCAGATCTTGGTATTTGATGTGCGGATAATGTGGTAAAACCCCCAGTGTTTTTACAGCTCTGGAGCTGAAATTGCCCCTGTGAAGGAAAAGCAATATCAGTCGTGACACAAGTGCAGGGCAGTTGGTGGTGTAGAGGGTTGCATCATTTGAAGGATTTCCAGCAGCTCCCGACACAAAAGCATTGAAGGTCAGTTTGTGCTGCTGCCACCCTGTGACGTTCCTGGTGGTTGCCCAAACTGTGTGTGTGTCCCAACCCACCAGCACCGTGGCTGGAAGATGCGGTATGTGGGTTTTCTTCTTGTTACCAAAGAAAAAAGAATCCAAGGAATCCACTTTGCTGACACACACTGGAAAATTCCAGTGCTCATTTCTGAGCTCCCCCATGTTCTGCTTATCAAAGTACTTGCACAGATGATAGAAAGGGCTCCAAAGCAGCTAGTCAAAGCTTATTTTTCTAAGGTGATCATTTGTAGTTTTGGGCTCAGATTCTTCTAACCCTTTTATTTTCATCCTCCCATTGAAAAAGAAAAGGAGCTCTTGATAAAACATGTCATGGATCAGAGAGGGCGAGCTGACCATCATAGAGAGATTTTGTGCCAACATCATTAAGGTAAGGAATTAATTTGGTTACCTGTGGTAAGGGACTGGGAGGTTCCTCAGGGTGCAGAGTGGAACTGCCTTTGTGGCTGCTCTATTCTAGAAAGGGTGTGTGTTGGTGCTGGCACTGGATGTACATCCCTTAGCAGTCAAGGACAGAAGATTACTTAAGCTTAGCCTTGCAAATGAGCAATGCTGTAGGCAGTGCTTGCCAATAATGAGCTTACACTCCCAGGCTTCCATGGTGTGTGCCCTTGCTGACGAAGGCAGGGCATGGAAGGAGAAGGGAGAGAAGCAATATGGTTGGATTGTGAGTCTTAAGAAATGAAACTGAGTTTCTCTTGATTAGAATAACAACTCACCGGTTCCAGGAAGATTCTTCTGCTCAGCAGAGTCTTGAGACTGGTGACGATGTCCTTGTGAAAAGGGTCTGTGCAGACCTGATGGAAAAGAATACTCAACTGGGAGAAGGTCTTATGACTTCCTTTGTTCTCTCTGAAGTGTCTGTGAGAATGCCCTTGTGCTCTGAAATAACAAATACTTGCAATAGCAGCAGCATAACCCTGTGTGCACCCTCCCCATGGCTGCAGAGAGGTAGCTGTGGCACTGCTGCTTACGGCAGCTCTCTGTTACATGAAAGAAATGGGGAGGGCCAAGCTGCTGTTCAGTTTAGGCAGATGTCAATACTGACATGCTTTTTAGAGAGCCTAAACTGGGGTTAGCAAAGGGGTCATAAGCATTGTGCTCCTTCCACCTCCAGACTTGAATCTAGGAGATAACATTGCAGTCCTACAAACAGGCAGTGCTGCCAGGAATGGTGGCACTAAACTCTGCAGTGCAAGATGCCAGCTGGGCTGTGTGCTCTGTTGGGTTTCTCCTCATTTTCCAGGCAGGTCCAATGCCCAAGCATGTGGCCTTCATCATGGATGGCAACCGTCGTTACGCCCGCAAGTGCCACGTGGAGAGGCAGCAGGGGCACTCGCAAGGCTTCGATAAGCTGGCTCAGGTGGGAGGACATTTGCTGCCTTTGAGTTGTGTGTTGAAAGCTTGAGCCATGTTTCCTGGTGTGTTGTGTTCCTTTTCCTCACTGGAGTCAGGCCTGTGCTTGGAGCTGATGTTAGTCATCAGGGTTCCCAGCTTCACCTCCTGTCTGTCTGCTGTCTTGCAGAGTCATTCTCATCAGCTATTTTTTTCCCCTCTGTTTTGCACTCAATTAAAATATCCACCTTGCAGATCTTGAGGCTTTAATTCTGTGAAACAAGTTGAATTTCTTTGAAACGATTTTGAAAGGTATGGTTTTAAATAATTCATAGTGTTATCTGCAAGAGGTGCTTTCCCCTGGCTGGATTAGTCCCATATCTGTTATGGATTCTCATCCGTAGAATTGCTGTTTTCTCCCTGTTCTTTAAAATGAATCTGAAATTCTCATCAAGTAGGTTTTATTTGCAGCTTTCTATGATTGTTTCTTATAATCCAGTCTTAGCATAGTGGAAAATAACAGGAAGGTTATAGCAGTGGAGAAGCTGGGTCTTGCTGACCTGATTGTCTGAGTCTGCTCATCCGGCTTCTGTTTTTCACTCTGTTTTGTCTTCTTGCAGACACTGCGGTGGTGTTTAAACCTTGGCATTCGGGAGGTCACTGTTTATGCCTTTAGTATTGAGAACTTTAAACGCTCCAAGGAGGAGGTGGATGGACTAATGGATTTGGCAAGGCAGAAATTTAGCCGCCTACTGGAAGAACAGTAAGAATCTTCTCATGTCTGTATCCCACATTGTGGAACTAAAGCAGAACATGATTAGGAGTTGTTTACAGGGATGTTACTAGTTGTGAAAATGGATTAAATGAAGGAAGCCTTTTTCTCCAGCCAGAGTTTTGGGTTGAGGGACTCTGCCCACCCGGATGGGATGTACACCTCCCGAGTGGGCACAGTCCCCATGCACACTGGGTTTGTGTCTGTATCCTGTGGCTCACTGCAACAGTCCCAGGCAAGCAGCTGGGACAATGCAGCTTTCGAATAAGCACAGCACAATTAGGAATTCTTGCTTAGCACAAGATGCTCTGTGCCTTGTTTCCAGAAGTCTCAAAGCCTTGTCTTAAACTCTGTCGCAATATTCTTGGCAGATCAGAGTTCAGCTCAGTAACTTGAGCTGTGGTAACCTGAGACTTCTGCATATGGGCACACAGTGTGTTAAATCACTTGTTGGAGTTGGAGAGCTAGTTAATGTATTGTGAGTAGATGAAACTAGTAGAGGTCTGGGTGAGCAGGGAGGAGTGTTACAGTGCTGTGTTGCCCAGTAACTCGGTGGATGTGTTGGTTTCCCCATGCCTGACTCGTGCACAGAAGGGGTCCTTATCTGGTCAAGGTAAATTTGAAAGGCAGCAAAGGAGCACAGCTGGAAGGAGGGAGAGGATAGCTTGGGTGTGCTGGTAGGAGCTGGGAAGATCAGGGCTACCTGAGCACTGCAGTACTCTGTGATTCAAAGAGCCCATTTCCCTACTTTCTACCCAATGCAGCCCTTCATCAGGGAGTTTGCAGCAGAAGACAGACAGCAGCAGGAAGCCATAAGATCCCATGGGATGTCCTGTCTGCTCAGAATACTGCTATAGCAGGCATGGATGACTCCCTGTCTCCTCTGATGTTCACTCCACCACCCTCATTGATACATTAATCTTTCCTTGCACCAGAAAGTAGCTGTGCCACTCTGTGGGTGACCATTAGTCATCTTAATTTTTAATTAGATATAGGTACCAAGAGTCTGTGGTTGTATTGTAAGATTTCCATGTGGATTTTCATAACTTCAGGTAGGAATGCCTAATCTGTGATCATTTTCTAGTCCTTTGATTACATTTGTACCTCAGGAACTTGCATGGGGAATGATCAGTTTCCCTTCATGAACAGTTTGGGATGATCAAATCTAAGGCAGTTTTCCACACCTGAAAAACATTTGGTCATTTTGCCTTTTTCTAATTCTGAGCTGTGCCTGCTGCTTCCTGTCTTCATCTGGTTGAACAAGGCAGATCTGGCACTTGTGCAGTAGAGACTGATCTGTTTTCTGTAGTCCTCACTCTTCTTGTTGGGCGTAGGGAGAACCTGAAGAAACATGGTGTGTGCATCCGTGTCCTCGGGGACCTGCCCCTTCTGCCCTTGGATATTCAGGAGCTGATTGCCCAAGCTGTGCTGGCAACAAGGAACTACAACAAGTGAGTAACACACAGCTTGAAGTAGCTGATACATCTTCTACCTGAAGGCTGAGACTTGGCAGACATGCTGTGCCTTTTTATGTGCTTTGTCCTACAAGCACATGTAACTGATGTAGATATTCCCTCTGTCATCTGCTGGGCCTTCCTTAGGTTAGTCTTTCACATCTTTCTCTTTTCAGATGCTTTCTAAATGTTTGTTTTGCATACACATCGAGACATGAAATCAGCAATGCTGTCAGGGAGATGGCATGGGGGGTGGAACAAGGACTGCTGGAACCCAGGTAACTCTTGTCTTTCTCTGAGAGGCTTCATAGGTGAAAACTGCCTCTCTTCCCACCTACGCTTTGTTACTAACCCCTCAAAAGCCAAGTGGCTTTTAAATAGATCTCATTAAACCAGTATGACTGGAACAAATGACTTAAAGCTACGATGCAATGTTTGTTTTTTATTATGGCAGTTACCATGGTGATAGATATACAATAAGACAGAAGAGAAATTAGGTCTGTGTCTTAAGCTAGTTTAAATATGAAGGCAGATTTTATGCCACAACAATTGGCTGCTTGGCTGGCAGTCTTAGCTATGAGGTCAAACAACAGATGAATCAAGAATACTAAACTGTTCCTCCACCCTGGAGGATATGGAGTAGTTAGTGTGCTGTCTGCTCCAGATGGAAGTCCTCATAGTCTGGTTCCATCCCAAGAGCACACAGGGGATGCTTTAGGGGCTGAAAGAACATTTGAACTAGCCTGTGGAACAGACAGCAGTATCCAACAGAAGCAAGTTGATGACAGGCTGTGGTACAGCTCCACCACCCAGTTTTAATCTGCAGTTCTGTGTTTAGAAAGAAACCAAACCCCTCGGTAATTCTGATTTAGCAGTGCCACCTCTGTTGGGTCAGGAAAGTGATCTCAGTAAGATGCCTCTGTCTCTCTTAGTGACGTGTCTGAATCATTGCTTGATAAGTGTCTGTACACCAACAACTCCCCTGACCCAGACCTCCTGATTCGAACCTCTGGAGAGGTTCGACTGAGTGATTTCCTACTCTGGCAGGTAAAGTCTTTGTTTTCTTCTTGACATATTCCATCTTTATATCAGAGTGTTCTGCTGACTTCAGGCATGAGCTGACATGTGGGCTCTTAAACTCTCTCTGCCAGGGGTTAGGTAACTTCTTGGATGGGCTAAGTGCTGGGGCATCTCTGAGGAACCTGTTTCTTGCAGTTCTGTGATTGCCTAAAATACCTTGCAGCCTGAGTCTGACACTGTATCATCCCGAAAACAATGGGAACTCACAGATTAGTCTAGCTGACAGCAGCTAAGGAAATCATGAATTGCTCATCCTTTGTGCCTCACATTTAGGTAATTCCTCATTTGTTAGTAAATTCCTGGCTTTAATTTAACCTGGCGACATGTTTCCTGGGATGAGGAAGATTTCTACATCCCTGGGAGACGTGTTTGTGACATGCCAGCTGGAGGTGTAACCCTGTAACATAGACGTAAGGTACGTGCTTGACTTGTCACAGCTTCAGAAGTTTGTTAGGCTTTCATACTGAAACAAGACCCCAGAAGATGTGTTCTAAGGCTGGCATAGTCAAATCAAGCATGACAAGGCTGGCAAGCTCAGACCTAGTAAGTTCAGAATGCATCTAAAGCTCATGTATTTGCAGTTACAGTATCGAAAGCTACTTCCATTTCTCTCTTCTGTGCTAGGCCTTATTCTTTGTAACCCAGATTTTGCAGGAGAACATTTGAGTTGAGCTGCTTTACTTAAGGCTAACATTTTGTTTTACATGTACACAGCCAAAACCCCACTGCCTTTAAGCAACCACATCAAATGTTCTTATTCCAAGTAATTTAATTGGCAGGTTCACAGAAGCTGTCTGGCCTGAGTTGTGGTTGCCTTCCAAGGCACCCCCTCTCCTCCCTGTGTTTTTGGAGGACCTGTACTCTTGCCCGTGTTATGGATTACAGCATGAGCAGCAAAGGAGAACGTGTGATTGTGCTCCTGCTCTGCCAGCTCACACACCAGAGCAGTAGTGCAAATTTCCCTTCACTATCAATTGTGTGTGTCCTGATGGCCCCAAACTAGGAGGAAATCATGCTTTCAGGATGATTCTCTGATGTCAAGGAAAATGTCCTTATGGTGGTGATTGTATAGAATTGACACTAAGTTTCTGTAGCATCACAATTTTAAGAGTTGTAGAGAGTCCATTAAGTGTTAGATATTGTGGTAATGGTCATAGGAACACTTTTACCTGAAACTTTGAGGACCTTGATGGCAAAAGCAGGCTTTTAATTTGGAAACTTGAATCATGCAGCATTAGAATCAATTCAGTGCACCTCGTGGGTTCATTAAGCAGTTTAAATGCTATGAGTGGGCAGTAAGGAGCAACACAGGATGTCGTTTGATTAAATGTCATGTCATGTCCTGATCCTCAGTTCATCTGTTATTCCTTTCACTCAGCTTTTGGTAGTCCAGTGTTGCTATTTTAGTTATGTTGTAAGTCTGTGATGCTTAAGCTTATAAAAAAATACCTCTGTGAAGGCCACCATAGCATTACAAAGAATTCTGCTGGTATCTTTGCAGAAATGGATGACTGGTGTCCCAGCATTTAAAAACTAATTGGAAAGACTACATTGTGTAATTTCAAACTCTCCTGGCCAATATTTATTTCATTTTAAGTAGAATCTGGTAACACAGCTTAGGTAAAATCTTTGTGGGAGATCTGGCATAATTTGACCATTAGAGATGCATTTTGATGACTTTTCCCTTGCTAAATGACTAAATTATTGGTGATCTTGTTTTCTGCAGACATCCCATTCATGCCTGGTGTTTCAGTCAGTCTTGTGGCCAGAATATTCCTTTTGGAACTTGTGTGAGGCTATCCTTCGGTTCCAGATGAACTACAGTGCTTTACAGGTAAGGGAGCTGGAGAAGGGATAGAAAGCTCAGCACAACATGTTCCCTGCACAGCAACGTGCTGAAGATCAGGTGAGAGTGTGCCAGGTGGGAACAGAGGGACTGTTCATTCAGTGTGGGTAATCTTGTTTCAGTTGCAGGTAATGTTGGATGTGTGGCTTCTCCTGTACCTGTGTGGTCTGTTGTATCTTAGCGTGTGGCCAGACTCCTCTCTTTTGAGGAATACCTAAAATATCTGAAGTCACCACTGTCTCTATTACTCATTGCTCATTCCACCAGCTGGAAGCATCTGTCTCCACTCCTCAGCTGACAGGACAGAATAAGGAAGCACTCCTGATTTGCTACAGCATAAAATCAGCCAGTTCAACTCAAACCACTTCATCAGTGGTTTATGCAAAGACTGCTGAGTACACTGTGGAATGAGCAGGGAGAATCTGCATGCTCTTCCTCCACCTCTGTTGCTTTCAGGCTTGTTACAAGTAGGTTTAGAGTTTCCTTTCTGGGACCTGAAGTGAGGCTGCGTGCATTGTGAGACTGTGGGCAAGTGTCCACTTTCTGGTGGGTCCAGATGGGCCTACTTGAGTTTGTTCCTATTGCTTGCTGTCATTGTTCCTCTCCTCTTCACTCTTTTGTTGTGAGTTCTTCCTGACCTGGTGCTGATAAATCTGGCCAAGTTAGTAGTGATTTAGTAATCTGGTTATTTTTAAGCAAAACAAATTTGGGAGCTGGAGCTCTTGATGGAGAAAGGTGAGGGGCACCAGCTTGTAGCACAGAGACAGCAGTGACTGGCCGGAGGAGGAATTCAGTGCGGTGACTCTTACCTCTGCTGTATCTGGCTGCTGAGTATGTCTGTTCCTTAATTATTTGGGTCCTCTCCTTTTAAAGACAGGCATTATATTGCCCTTTTCTGCCTTCAGGGACCTTGCTCACCTCTGAGAGCTGTCAAAGATTATAGACAGCCATGGTTATGGGTGAGTTTAATCAGGTTCAGTCAGTCTGGAAACGTTCAAATTCTCCACGTCCTTAACCTCTGTAATTCCTTTTTCTGCCCTTTTCCTACCAGCAACTCATTGTATTAGTACAACTAATGACAATTCACCTTCTGCATGAAGAGAAAAGCAAAAAAGGCAGTAGTGTTTGTCGTTGACATCAGCTTGGCCTCTGTCTTGAACAGTGTTGAACAGTAAGGTCACTGTTCTGCCTTTGCTCCTAGTGCTCATTTCTGGTGGGTGACAAATGCTGTGTCTGTTCTCAGCTTGTCTCGTCTTTTCTTCGTTCTTATTTGTGGCTATGTGTGTTCACGCTATGCTATTATCAAGGTTTCTTATTGTTCAGCTTTGTTCTTTGGTCAGTTTTCTTGCTGTGAGATCCACTTTGCAGTATATAAGGCTGCCCTTTTCTCAGGGGATGCAGTCCAGTTGTGCAGAAGGGAGGATATCTGACTCGAAGGAACTGATCAGATTTAGGACCTGGGGCTCAGGGGTTGATTTGCTGAGAAACCACAGTATATAGCAGTAGCTATGTCTGCTTTGGGAGAGTGCTGCTGTGTTCAGGACACTAGAGACAGTTACAGCAGCTGCATGGAAGGTTTAACAAGGTACATAAAAAAAAGCCCCAACCACCTTGATTTGGAGGTGTTGGCAAAAACTATCTCCCTTCCAGCAACTCACAGCATCACCTTTAATGGCTGTCTTCATTTCCCACTTAGCCTGCTGCTCAAGGGAGTCTTCTAGCTGGTTGTTTGTCCCCACTTAGCCCCAGGATTAGCTGTAACTCGATTTTGGTGTGTGGTGGACCCAGGAAGAGGGTGCAGATGTTGGTTGGCAAAGCTGCCCTGTGGAAGGGGTCACGCCAAGCCTTTCCTGGTGAACAGGCAGAGGTTCACTCTGTTCAGGGGTGGAACAGGCTGACGATCTCTGCATTTCTACTCAACAGAGCTGCAGCAGTGGAGTGCTATCAATTCAGTGAGCTTTCTGTAGCTAGGGATATTTCCACTCTTGTTCCCAGCACAACAAATGCTAATTTACAGTGCCAGAGCATAGACTGAGGCATAGGGAAAGTGTGGTGAAGAGTGAGTCAGGCTCTCATTAGAATAATTCTTTCTTGCTTGTTTGAAAGGCCAGCACTCCCCAGCGAGTGTGTGTGTGTGTGTGTCAGGTTGTGTCGCAGTGACCAGTTCTAGTCTTGTTTTTCTAAAACTGGAGGCTGCAGATGTGTGTTTGCTGTTGGAGGTTGCAGGTTATGAAATGTGCAATAAGAAGAAATCCCAAAGTGATGCTCTGCAAAAATATTCCAATCCTTGAAGGGTAGGCAAGGGTAGCTACTGCCTCTACCTTTCTCCTGCCCATCCTGCTGTGTCTGGAGCCAGGGCATTATTAGATCACTAATAATGCTGAGCCCACTCATGCTTTATGCTGCAGCTGATTTAGCTCAATATCTGATCATCTGCTCAAAGAATTGCCCCCATAAGTAAGTGTTCTGAATCCTGTAACCCCTTTCAGATGCCATGTGAATAGGATCAAAGATTCTACAGTGACACTGGTGAGGATAGATTGTGTGTACGTCTGTGGTTTAAAAGTCCTCCTGTATGCTGTTCCTCTCCAGCATCTGAGGGTTTCTCCACAATCTGTGACCTTTAACTATTTTGCCTAGGAGCTGATGCTGTGAGCAGACTTGGCTCCTGGGGAGAAGGTCCAGAAGCATATCTCTATATCTCTTTATAACCAGTCAAGCAGGAGGAGGCAGATGCAGGGCCACCCTTCATTTAATCTGAAGCCTCATGGCCCAAGCAGAGGCTGTTTCTTCCATAACCTATGCTGCTTGACCACAGATGAGCTAAAAGGCCTGCTAAAGTGCTAACACTCTACTGCTTTTCACTCTAGAAGGCCAGAGACTCCTACATGGAGGAAAGGAGGCGACAGCAGATGGAAAGGGATCAGGCTTATGTGGCAAAGAAGCTGCAGCAGGAGGGGGTTGCATCCCACGGAGACTCTCGGCGCCGGTGGACACTGTTGCAGACATGCACTGCCATGAGGGAGGAGAGAATCCAGAGCTTCCTGCAGGCACTGGAGCACAAGAGAGCGGACTTCTTTGAGAGATTGTGTTCGGTGTCCGCATGACACAGGTGCTGGGTTCTTCATGGGAAGACCATTTTAATATGTGTTAGAGGGAACAGTTGCTGCCCTGAGGAATTCACTCGCTGTGAGGACACAGGGCTGCTGCTGTAAGACTTGTCCCTGCTGGCCCTGACCAAGGGCAGGGACAGAGAGTACTGTGAACCCTTCTAGTTCTGTGAATGCTGCCGAGGAAGGTAGTGCCGTCCGGACTCACCTCCCTGCCCCTGGTGATGGAGAATAAGCACACCCCACTGTATCTCTGCTGCTTGATACTTTACAGGTCTGGGGGTTTTGGTGACAAGAAGTTACCCGAAATGAGCCTCTGGTTGTGTTTGACTCCTCATGAATTGGCCCAAGCAAACCAATTCAGTCCTGCTAAATCAGTCCAGACTTGAATTCTTTCCATAGTGAATCTCTGTGGAGATTTCCTCTGCTGTTCAATAAAGGGAGCCTTGCTTCCTGCAGGGAGAGGGTAATTCCTGGTGTGGAAGGGAGCCCCGTGCCAAGCAGTGGCAGAGATATTCCCCACTGCCTACTTCATGAGAGCATCTTGGCTTTTCCCCACCTTACTCTGCTGGTTTAGATCTGCTCTTGTCTCCCAGAGAGCTAAAGTGAGGTGGTGTCAGCCTTGCTGTAAGGGAAAAAAGATACTCCAAAGTCTCGCGATCCCTTCTGAGCACTGTGTGTTGGGAGAACCCAAATGCCAAAGATGCTGATGATGAAGCTGACTATCGGTGCTTAGCAAAGGTTGCCTTTGCTAAGGCAAGTTGCCTGACTGGGTTTAAACCACGACAGCAGGCAAGGAAGAATGACTGGGAATTAACTTCATGGCTCAGAATACAGTACCAAAACCAGCCTCTGCCCCCAGCCAATATGGTTTTGAAGGATTATTTAACTGATTGAAGTGGGAGTGGCCAGAGCAGCTGTGGAGTGTGGTTTGTTCTCAGAGTTCCATTGGCAGGGACATGGGTTAGCTTATTTCCAAGCCTGTATCCACCTCTGATTTCTCCTGGTTTCCGTCCCCATGGTCAAAATACCAGAAAATGTCTTCATTGGTGTTTCTGACGCACATCCAGGTGCAGCACTACCAGCCAGTGCTGGATTTCAAGTGTTCCTTTTTGCCTCCAGGTGAAAACTAGGAAAACGCAGAGTCAAAAGACTTGTCCGTGCTGCAAACCCAGCACTTTGTGAAGAGGATAACTATTGTCAAATTGTGAATAAAGCCTATTTGTACCAAACTTACTTAAACCCCAAGCTGAACATCTAAAAGTACGTAGAGCTTCTTATCCTAAGGTGTGATGAAGTCGGTCTCTGGGTCTATTATGATATTGTTTAACCTGTGACAGACTCTTCATCGAATTCCTGTTAGACTGGAGACAATTTGAAGGCTGTGTTCTCTTTACAGTCTGGTGTGAGCAATTTGCTGCTGCCCCAAGGCTTGCCTGAGTGAAGCTCCATGCACGTACCTCCTCTTGCGTAAGTAGCAAACGGTAGCTTGGCTAAAAGCATGGTGAGATGATGGGAGCTGTCGGTTGGAAACTTCCTTTGCTGTTGTTTTCCTTTTCTCTGTCTTCACCTTCCAGGAAGCTGTTTGTGGAAATAGTTTGCTCTGCATGAGATGGAGCACTCTGCAGTCTGCTTGGCCAGAGCTGTTTTCTACCTGAGGATGTATTACCTTAAAAAGGGGTTTGGTTGTGTTACGATGCTGTAGGTGACCAAAGCTGCAGCGGTGGTTTTCCACACTGTAGCACTACTGTTGCAAGGGTGGGAATTGAAGGACCTGGTTTACAGAAAGCTTGTAGGGAAAGAGTCCCTTTTATAAAATAGCCTTTGCTGTAATAGGGGAGGAGAAAAATGCCCTTCAGACAGTGGAAAAAGGCTTGAGTTACCTGATGGTTTATCCGACCTGCATTGGTTAATCCAGTAAAATGTCATGCCTTCCAGTTGGGGTTGGCTGTGAGTTACGCAGGCAAACCCTGACTTTCAGGGACGCATCTTTCCAGTGAACCTTGGTGGCAGTTGTGGAAATACCAACAGGGAGCTGATGGGAGACCTGGAGAGGGGCTTTGGCCAAGGGCCTGTAGGGATAGGCCAAGGGGAATGGCTTTAACCTGCCAGAGGGGAGACTGAGATGAGCTCTTAGGCAGAAGCTCTTCCCTGGGAGGGTGCTGAGGCGCTGGCACAGGGTGCCCAGAGAAGCTGTGGCTGCCCCATCCCTGGCAGTGCTCAAGGCCGGGTTGGACACAGGGGCTTGGAGCAAGCTGCTCTAGTGGAAGGGGTCCCTGCCCGTGGCAGAGGTTGGAACTGGATGAGCTTTGAGGTCTCTTCAACCCAAACCACTCTGGTTCTATGCAATAGAGCCATAGACTTTCTTCAGGGAGAATTTAACTCCCCTAATTCACATCTGTATGGTGAAGATGTGAAAAGTCAGCACAGCCTTTGGGGGCTGATAAAGCCTGGGAGGTAGCAGGGAGGGGAGAGAGGTCCTCGGGCTGGATTTCTCCATTAAGAGATGAGAAGTTTGGGCACTCTGAAGCGTGCATCTTGTATCCGGATTTGCAGCAAATGGCTGTGCCCATGTGCCAGTGCGGGACACGGCCCCTTTGGGAAGGAGCCCGGCTCTACAAGTGACCGTGAGCACAGGCCCCTGTTCGAAGTGTTTTAATGCCGTTTCCCCGCATTTCGACTCCTTCTGCCCATTGCAGCCCCGCCGCCGCCTCTCCCTCGCTCCTGCTCACCAGAACCCATCCCCATCTCCCTTTATTTCGCAGGAGAAGCGCTACGGGCCCTGCAGAGCTCGGTGGGGGCCCGGGCCGGGCCGCACAGCACCGCGGCGGTGCTGAACGAACAGCTCCGCTCCGCTCCGCTCCCCCCGCCGCGCACGGTTCGCAGCTCCCCGCGGAGACAGCGGCGTGTGTGTGTGTGTGTGTGTGTGTGTGTGTGTGTGTGTGTGTGCGTTGTGGGGGGGTCACCCCCTTCCCCCCCCCCCCCAGGCACCGTCCCGCCGCCCTCCCCCATTGCTTCTTTTTGCCTTTTCCTCCTTATTTTTGCCTGCCCCCCCCCCCCCTTCCTCCTCCTTCACCCTCAGCGTTTTCCCGCCCGCGGGAAGCGGGGAGGGGGCGCGCGCGTGTCCGCCCCCCCCCCCCCTCCGCTCCCTCCATCATCTTCTCCCATCCCCGCCTGGCCCCAGCCCACGTGACCCTGGCTGTCCAATGGGCGCGCGGGGCGGTGGGGATCCGGCTGGAACCGGTTGGGCCGCGTCCGGCTCTATATAAAACTTTATAAACAGCCGCTCCGCCATCCGCGGGGTCGGTCCGGCACCAGCGGAGCCCCCGCCGGGAGCAGCGCCGCGCCGCGCCCCGCCGCACCGCCCGCTCCTTCCCCCTTCTTCCCCCCGCCGCTGCCCTCACTTCCCTTCCCCCCCCCCCCCCCTCCGCACCGAGCGCGCCCGGCTCCCCCCCTTTCCCTTTCCCTTCCCCACCTCTCCGCCCTTCCTCCGCCTTCTCCCTCCGCCCCCTTCACGCCGCGCTCCGCTCTCCCTCACACACACACACACAAACACGCCCGCACGGAGCCATGCCGAAGAGAAAGGTACGTGGCGCCCCGGGCCCCTCTCCGCCGTAGGGGCCTACAGTCCCGGTGCCCCCCCCCCAATCCTTCGCCGCTAGCGCCTGTGCGGTGTGGGGGGGGCGGGACTCCTCCTTTGCCGTTCCCCCCCCCCCGCCCGTTCGGGGCGGTAACGGGTGTGAGGCGGTAACGGGTGTGAGGCCGCAACGGGCTCGGCGGTGGGGGCGGGGCGGCGAGGACACCGTTACCGGCCGCGCCTTGGGGGGGCGGACTTAACGGGCGCGGGGGGAGGGGGGCGCGCGGAGCGGCGCCGGTCCGATCCGGTTGGTTTTGGCGGGAGGTCGGAGTGAGGGGGGGAGGGAGGGAAAGGGCGGGAAGCGGCCGCGCTGCTTTGCCGCCAAAACCGCCGCCCCGCGGGGGCAGCTGTGGGCGGGAGCGGGGCCTCCCTGCAGGGGCAGCGCCGCTTCCCCGCCCCGACGTGGGGTGGGTCGCGAAGGGGCCTCCGCCCGGCCCGGGGATCGCAGGGGCGGCCTCCAGCCCCTCCCCGGATCCCGGAGCCTGGCACCTTCCGGGGGGGGGGGGGGGAACAACGTTTCCCTTTTGGGATGGGGAGGGTTAAAAATGGCGGCCGGTGCGGGGCTGGGGACTGAGAGTGCATCCCCCGAACTGTCCGGTGCTTCTGTTCACGTCCTAGGCTGAAGGAGAGACCAAGGGCGATAAGGCCAAAGTTAAGGATGAGGTAAGAAGTTCCAATATTCGAGGAAAGTTGGATCATGGAGTGTTTACATTGGAGAGAAGTTGAACTTTGTCGAGATAAAGAAGTGGGGAGCAAGGGGGGGAGGCTTGGGCTTGATGGAGTCTGGTTCTTCAAAGGATTAACTCTCTTTTAGACCTCTCTTTTAGCCGTGACCATGAAAAGATCTACTTTATTACTGTCAGCTATTAGCAGGGGTTCAACTGGAACAGTCTCCCTGTTCCTTGAGAACAGGGGGGCAAAAAAGGAACTAGAAGCTTATACCTGGGTTTTTACTACTTTGAAATGAAAGTTCCTGTGTAAGCTCATATTCCACCACATTAAATGCAGTCATTTTCCTTTTCAAACAGCCACAACGGAGATCAGCGAGGTTATCTGCTGTGAGTATTCTCGTGTCGAGCAGAGGTGCCCCGACATTGAGCAGGTTTAAGCTCAGTGTTAGGTACTGCATCTGTGTGCGGTATTCTGGAGAGACGCATTGTTCAGTTGAAAGAAAGTTACTGGCTTAACAAATTGCCCCATTGTGTGGTGCTGTGGGAGCAGGAGAATAATGGATAACCCAAGTAAGTGCTTCAAGTTCAAGTGTTTTGATTTGCTTTCCTATTGCTAAACTGTTGGGGTTGAGTGTTTGTTTTAAAGCCAGGTTGTGGGTGTTTCTTAAAATAACTTGACTAATCTAAGGGGTGTTTCTCACTTACAGAAGCCCGCTCCTCCCAAGCCAGAGCCTAAACCTAAAAAGGCAGCTCCAAAGGTAAGTTGTTGTGGCAGTGATTGTTGAGACATAAATGCGTTGTGAGGGTTAGATTAGTCCAATCATAACTAGCAAAACAATAGTATATGTGGGGATGGAATTGAGCTGCATCGCCACTTCTGGAAACACTGAAAACCTTGGAATTTTACAAAATTGGCTTTAAAAACACCAAAGGGAAGACTCTTTGGAGTTGTTGTCAGTCTCTTAAACACACACAGTCGTGTGTTGTGTTCTCTTGTCATGCTAACACCCAGGGTTGGGTTTTACCATGGTAGTTCTTGGACTCTGTCAGTAACAGCGTACCTCATCTTCCATTTACAGAAGAGCGAGAAGTTGCCCAAGGGAAAGAAGGGGAAGGGTGATGCTGGCAAGGAGGGAAACAACCCTGCAGAAAATGGAGATGCCAAAACAGACCAGGTATAACAGCAGATCTGGCAGCGTGTCTCACATCAGCTGTCTCACACAGGCAGGTCTTGGCTTGCGCTAACAAATTATCACTTGATCATTTGGACCTGTTGCTTCTGACATTAACACCACATCTACAGGTGGGGGTGTTGCTTGGAGCTTAAAGAGTTAAAGTTGCCTGTTTGCCAGTTGAAGCTGCCACGTGAAAATGACTGTTCTGCCTTGCTCTGAACTGCTGTAATAAAGCAACTCCACGTTGCCTTTAGGGTACCTGGAATGTTAGATTTCACGTTGTTAAAAGAGTGGTGACAGATATGATTCCCTCTGTCCAGAGGATTGCTCTTAAGAAGAGCAGATCACCAGCTGTTGGTGTGAGTGCACGGTGTGTATTGACTGGTTCCCTTTCTCTTCCAGGCACAGAAAGCCGAAGGTGCTGGTGAAGCCAAGTAAAATGTGTGAATTTTTGATAACTGTGTACTTCTGGTGACTGTACAGTTTGAAATACTATTTTTTATCAAGTTTTATAACAATGCAGAATTTTGTTTTACTTTTTTTTAAGCTATGTTGTTAGCACACAGACCGCTTTGTTGTTGTGTTGGGGGGGGGGGGTGGGGCAGTGGGGACAAATGTCACTTAGTCTATTTCTCAGAACCTAAATTTTAATAAGAAAAGTTATCCCCGTCTCCCAGTTTTTTGGAAGAAGAGCTCTTCCTGAATAGAGGAGGAAGAGATCCCTTCATGCTGCACACGTGTTGAGCTCTGTGAAGTGCATCCGACTGAACATCAAAGCTCCCAAGATGCCCATTGCTCACTTCCAAACGGCAGTTTGTAGATCCCTTTATGTTCCCTTTGGTGTCCACGTTGCTTACCCAGATCCATCACTCCGAAACAATGGCAAAACAGGAATTTTGGGACTTGCCATCCAGTGTGTTGTCAGGGTGTCCGGTTCGGGGGTACAACAGCTCTGCCAGGAGCTGCGCTTCCTCTTTTATATTGTGGATCTTCAGATTAAGAAACCTGCATTTTAAGTTTTGTTTTCCTCTCAAAGTCAGGGTAGGTTTGTGAAGAGTTGTTAAACAACATGCTAAATGTGAAAGTGTCCACCCTCACTCTAAACTTTTCTCTCTACCAAGTATGAAATGAAGATTCTTCGGTTTTATAGCAACTTTTACGTTCTGGTAGTCCATGGAGGGAGGGGAATTTGACAGTTGTTGTAAAATGTTGCAGATTGTAGCCCATGTCCTGCCTAAATTACCATGATTGTTTATGAAAAGTACCTTTAATAAAGCTGGATACGGTTTGGCTTGGACTGTTCTCAATGCCTTTCTAATTCCTCGTTGCTTTTATTTCATCTCTGATGTGGTTAACATCAGAAGAATACTTGCTGTGTACGTGGTTGTACTTACGCAATGTTTTGCTAATGGCCAATAATTTTGTTTTAAGCATCTTTAATTCAGATAATTAATTTGGGCTTAAGTGAAAGGCAACATTCTCCTTACTGAAACACTAGATAGCTGCAGCATGTTTTGAGACGTACTGGGAGGCCCAGAATGGAGCACGTAAGTGAATCTACCAAGATAAATGATCTTCATTAATGTCTAAAAAGGAGCACTACACAAAATGGGGAAGAGCACAGCAACCTTGCAGTTGCTGCAGCCAGAAAAACGGGGGTATGCTTCCCTTGGTTGTGGAACCAGAACTAGCTTCCTACCTTTGATGATGTGTTAGATTTCTGCACTTAGGCTTGAATATTGTTGCTTCTGCTAATGAAATACAGACTTTGCTGTGGTTAGTGACTAAGGAGGAAACAAGGTTTGTTGAATAAAAGTGCACCATTTTTATTGTCACTACTTGTAGAGCAGAGCAAAACCAAAAGCTCTATGTGTCAATGTCTCCTGCAGTCACCTCTTAGATGCGTTTTTTTCCTATCTTTCCTTGGCTTTTCTGAGATTTCAGTGTCTGTTACTGAGGAAGTTGTGACCCGTTTGAACCTGTGCTGTTTTCAGAGGGAATTCAATGAAAAGGAACAGGGTGAAGTGTCACAGCCAGAAAATAAGTGTCAAGAGTTCTAGAAGTAGCCTAGAAAACAGCCAGTTTGAGCTGTACGGATGCGAACTGCTCTCCATCCCATATTATCATAGCTGGTATGTCTTGTATTCACCTTAGCAAGCGTAAGAAAAGTCACGATGAATAATTTTGTGTGTACCCCACCCAGAAGTGGCAGCTTAGAAATGGCCAACAAAAATCCCAACATCTTGCTTGAGCAACCAGTGATGGGCTGTGGCTGGCAAAAGACCACGGCTCCCCAGGAGTGGACCAGGCAATGTTGCTGTCCAGGGCCTTCAAGAGATGTAGCTTGTGAGAAGCTTGTGATGGGGCAAAAGTGTGTCCAGGAGTTGGGAGAAAGGCTGTTCAGAAGCAGAGGTGTTGCTCTGTGTTGTTCCACCTCATCCCATGGAAGAGCCACCTTGTAGGGAGCATGGCTGGTTCTGGCACCAGAGTGAGAAGGGCTGGTGGTGAGTTTGAGCTCTGAATCTCCAGTGAGTGAATTCTTAACTACCAGAGGGAACTGAACTTGAGGCTCTGGAGTGATCTGAGATTTGGGGACAACCTGGGTGATGCTGTAGACCACATTAGATTAGATGTAGATTAGATGTTTTAAAGCAGAAAGTTTGCAGAGCTGCATGTTGTTTGGCTTCTAGGAAGAGAGTGATGAGTTGCCAGTGGATGAGGTTTGGAAGGGGTTGCCACTGGCCCCGTTGCCAGCTGGAGTGCCGTGGTGTTCCCTGCGAACATCTCTGTGGTTGGAAGGCCTTTTCATCCCCTAGTCATTAAATCAAGTGCAGCTAATGAAGTGTAATTGCAGGGTTGCTGTTTGCCGAAGAACTCTCTGCTTAACTACTACTTAATCCTTGCAGTGCCTGGAAGTCTAAACCATGCAGTGCTCTCCTGTACAGGATGTCTTCAGCAGCCCAGCAGGAAAATGAGCGTTTTACGTGGTAACTGCCACGTAAGTCTCTCTAGTTACTCCACTGTGTCTTTTACTGCTAACAGGGAACTTCCAAACCTTGCTGTGTCTTGGCTGTACTGAATCTACTGCCTTAATGTCTTTGCCACGCGTGTTACTTCACGCTGATACCATAATATGCTTTGGAAAGTACTGATCTTTTCACTTTTGCTACAAAACTGTATTTTTCCTTTATCCTGGTCTGGAATCCCTTTGTTGATCAGAAAATCCCCTCCCCTCCCTATATGTAAAAGTCACTAGAGCAGCTTTAGCCCACCTGGATGATCCATGGTGGGTATTCTGCCTGACTCTGCTCTGCCCTGAAGTGACATTTGGATTGAGGGCTGCAAGGTCTGAAGCTCTTCCACATCCAAGGTGTTTCCTGCTGGATGTGCCCCTGCACTGGAGTTCTTGGCCTGTTGGGCTTGACTTGACATGCAGGGCTCATCTATGTCTCCTGAAGCAAATAGAGGGTAAAGGATGCTAAAGACAGTAAATCCAACTAATTAGTTCTGTAAATTAAAAGCTAAAGAGCAGACAAGGCTGTTCTGCAATCCGTGAATGTTTAGTGGTTAGAATAGCCACAAATCTGCATCTCCAGCTGCCAGAACGCCTGAAGCTAAAAATAAGCTTTTCTGTTAAATTGTAATCATTTTACATGGAAAATTGTCTCTGTGTATCTGCTGGGAATGTGATTTATGGTGCCGGGTGCATTTGAAAAGCCAGCCTGTCAGGTGGTCTTTATATTAGCATGTGTTTTGTCCTGTCTGTTCGAGCTTACAAAAACTGGAGACCATCAGTGTTTGATGGAAACAAAGCTAACCTGAAAAACTACCCAAGGACCTCCTGTTGAAGGGTACCAGTGCAATTACTTTCCAGCTTAAAAGGCAGAGAGCATCCTATTTTAAATCAAGCTGAGGATCTGAGCGTTTAGAAAAACTCCTGGGAATGCATAAAACCAGTTCCTGCTTGCAGCTGATGGTTAGGAAAGACCATGGATTGCAGTAACTTCATGTAAAAATGCAAGTATCAGATGTGCAAATAGCAGTCAGAGCTCAACTGTGTTCTGGAGCTTTTGTCAAGGATCCTCTCTAGGAATCTGTTGTAGGAGACATCCTCCTCCATTTTTTGTCCTCTGTTCTTCAATGCTTCTCCAGTGTTGCTATGATGAGGACCATCAATGACGTTCTGAAAGGGCAAGGAAGCTGGGGTCCTGGTAACGTTTAGAAAGCTCTACTGCTTCATCTTTGCTGGTTACTGTACACCTTGCAAGCTGTGCCAGGCTCTTAGGCAGTGCTGGGTACAGCAGATGAGTCCTGTACTTAAATAAGACACAAAGGCTTTTTGTCTTTCTGCTAATTACCCCAGTTCTGAACACTTGCTGTCAACTGACATGATAATTTTTCTCGTTCTGCTGTCTGATACCTTTCCCACCTTCATTTTATCCATCTTACAGAAAAACCCGAGTTTCACAGGAGATGTACAAAGAACTAGGAATCTGATGTGCTATGTCAGGGGAATCTGGTGCTCGGAGTTGCAGCTGCAAAGGGAAACAGCCACATCCTGGATCCAGAGTCACTACTGGCAACACAAATGAGTAGGTTCAGTCTTATCAGGCCTCAAGAGAAGTAGTCGTGTACCAGTATGGTTTAAATCCATGCAGAATGGCTGCGCTGCTAAACTGTTTCTCAGTTTATTAATTTCAGCACAAATTGCCTGAGAAATAGACCCAAACTGCTGTTAGCATTTATTTGCCTTTTAATAGGTGAGATTGCAAAGAGTGACCAACTTCATAGCAGTGCTGAAACCTTTGGCAGGCTTCCACTGAGCCTGTGGATGATTCTTGTTTTCCAAACACTTCAGACTCTTGCTGGGGTCGTAAGAACATTTAGAAGATGGAGAAGTGATAAAGGAAAGTCTCTGGACTCCCCCGAAGTAGTGATGATTAAAACCAAGTAGAAGTTAATGTGAGCTAGTTGCTTTCCAGTGGGTCACTTACCTTAATCAGAACCACTCTTCCCCTGACCGTGTTTTTGCTTTCAAGTTGAAGTGGATTGGGCTAAAAACCCCATGAGAACGAGTGAACTCGATTGTGTTGGGAAGACTCCCCAGGAATGACACACTCCTGTCCCTGCTCCTTCCTGTGCAGTGCCCTTGGATTAACAGGTCTGAGTTTCAGGATAAATTCCTCCTGCAGCAGTTTTCATCTTGCATTCCTCGAGCTCAATTATAGTTGGAAAAAGTGACAGTATGCTCGTCCTGTCACCCATAGCCCTGCCCTGGGTGGTATGGAAAGGAACAAGGAAAGAAAAGGGACTGAATTTCAGGGAGTGCACCCAGTGAATATTGAGTCACAGGATCATGTGTGGCAGAAGAATTGCCTAGCTTGATAGTACAGGGATTTCATTGTTCCTAAATCATCCCAGATATGCTAATACCATACCCAGGGACTAATAGTGCTGACTGTAATCTCTGAGAAATGGGTCCTTGTCCTGCACTTTGGAGGGGTGAAATGGAGCTGGAGTTAAACTCACAATGTACAATGTGAGCCCATCCTCATTTGCAAGGGATGGAAGGAGGTGATTCCGAGTAAAGTTTGATTGAGGCTAATGAGGAGGAGATACTAATAGAGAGCTGTAGTAAACTGCCATTAGGAAGGCTTCTGATGTGAAAGGCTGGGCCTTTTAAAAAAAACCTATTTTGGTTTATTTGGGCCTATTTTGACAATCTTTTTTGGGGTTTAACCATCTCTTTGCAAAGGAAATTTTTAGGGTGCCAGGAAATCCACATTGTGGCAGAAGAAACATCAAAAGAAAACATTAGGAAAACTTCCTAAATGTGAGATCTGTTACGATGCATTAAAGCCTCCAAATAAGAACATTTTATTGCTTTAAGTGCATAAAACCGGCCTGGAGAGGGTACTAAGGGAAGGTAGAAGGATGATCCTGCAGTGGCTGCAGGTGTGTAACATCCTGCTCACCTTCCAAAGCACCTGCATGTACCAGGAGCCTCTGCATTTTACTACCAGGTACTTAACCCCCCAAACTTTCTAGGTTTCCCCTTTTAAGCAGAGCTGAGAGTGGATTTCACTTTATCTTAGTCAGTTATCCCACGGAGATTACTTTGGGATTATTAACACTTTTCCCTCTGGGCAACAGCTCTCCTCTGCTCTCCAGCTTGTTGGCTGCTGTTGCTGTGCAAAGGTGAGTGTGTATGGCAATTGTGGAGCAAGCCAGGAGTTACTATTAGGTTGCTATTAATCTAGTTATAGTAGATTACTATTTCAGCATTGCCCAGATGGGAGATT